CTGTACTTACAAATCATGGAGTCCATACAGAATACTAGATGTAGTAGTTTTTTTGTGGGGTGTATTCATTTTTGCATCAACTAAACTTGAAGATTTTGTAAACTTAGTTTTACTATTAACCCTACTTTCATGTACCTGACTAAACAAATGTTCTATAAAACTCAGTTTTGTCTAAAGTAATCAGTGGACTGAGTGCAAAGACTTCACTGCGCTTGTGCTCCATTAGGATCAATGAGTCCCTCTGCTGCGGTGGTAGATGATTCTTTTAGTTTTTAATTCACATTTGGCTACGAATGGTTTAAATGACTGTGTGGGTGGGGATGAACCCCACGATTCAGGTAGGAGGAGTCAGTGTGAGAGTGTGAGGCCTGCGAAAAGTGACCATGTTTCAAATTACACCCTAACTATACAGTTGGGCTCCAGTTTGCATACCCTGGAAATCATTACATTTTGGCATTTATATTGAAAATATGACTGATCATGCCAAAAAACTCCTTTTTTTTTTTTTTTATTTAAAGCTCATCATCATTTGAAGCCATTTTATTATTCGCAGCCATGGCTGCGGGTAATCACCATGGCTGGTGATTACCCGCCGGCACCCGGTGATTACTGAGGATCTCCGACGGGGAGAAGGGCTGCTTTGTTTACGAACAGTCCTCCTCCCTGTCAACTCGGACAGACTGCTCTGGATGGCTGGGCACAGCACAGCCATCCAGAGCAGTGTGCTTTACAGTGAAGCACCAACACACCGCTCCCCAGTAAAACACTCCCCAGCACACAGTTAACTCTTTGATTGCCCCTAATGTAAACCCCTTCCTGCCCAGTGCCATTAGTACAGTCAGTGCTGCTTTTTTTTTTTTTTTTTAGCATTGATCACTGTGTTAGTGTCACTCCAGTATCAGAATGCCCACTGCAGTCCTGCTATAAGCTGCCACCATTACTAGTGAAAAACAAAATCCCAGTATCTATACCACCATTTGTAAATGCTATAACTTTCACGTAAAACAATTAATTTACACATATTTGGATTTTTTTTGGCTTGGTCTGGTCTGGTCAATTATTTAACCACTTGCCCTTCTGAGGATTTACCCCCGTAAATCCTCAGGAGGGCAAGTGGTTAAATTATTTTTTTTGGCATAATCAGTCATATTTTCAATATAAATGCCAACATTTCACAATTTCTGCCAGGGTATGCAAACTTTTGAGCACGACTGTAGCTCTAAACATGAAACCTGGTGTGACAGGAGCCACTTTTGTGTGCGAGGCCTATGGAACCCAGCTCACATTAGAGAGGTGGGGAGACCCCTGTCTCAGCTCCCCATATCCCTATTATGTGTAAGTCACCCTGTGCCTGTTAGGGGTACAGGGTGATCTGTCCTAATATTGGTTGCATCCCATTGTTCTATTGTGTGTCTTGCTTGGGAGCAAACTATTATGGGATGTATGTGTTTATGTGTATTAGCTTAGTGGAGGGGTATTTCCAGCTGCCCTCCCTCCTGATGGGACTGTCTGCTGGTGTGACGTTTGAATACCTGTGTGTCTCTTGATGCGAAGTGTAGATTGCCCCGCCCTGTGTCATTATGCAGGGAGGGGGGATTGTTCCCTGAGTGTATAAAAAGCCAGTTCGAGTTTCAAATAGAGAGTTCTATGTTCAGACAGATTGGTGTCGTCTAGTCTTTTATGGTCAGCTGTGGTGTCTGTTTTCAGTGTTCGGACGGAGAAGAGAAGCGGTATTCTAACGGAAGTACCCAAGTGCAGACTGGGTTGGTTCCATTACACCTGGTCAGAAAGGTGGAATTGGCACTTTCATTGTAGTGCATTTGTTATTTTGTTTAGCTTTGCTTCCTACTCCATGGCAATTTTTGCAAAATTGAGAAGACACAATCTTGACATTAAGCCAACACATTAATAACAACCTAAATAGGTTTGGAAATGTTTCTGTCCTTTACCTCCCTGATGCATTAATACAAGGCATTTCTTGTGTGATTCCTGTGTGCAGTGAAAACCAGAGTTTGGAATATATTTGTTTTCTGCACCTGGGAGGCTCTTTTCCCACCCAGTGGAGGCCTGGGACTTGGTTGACATTCCTAAACAAAAAAGCCCCCTGAGGCCTCTGTACCAGACACCATCCAATCTGGGAATGACATTTCTAAGTCTACTAGTGGTAGACAGTTTTCCTTCATGCAAAAAAAGGTTGGCTAGATGATTAACCCAGTTACGTGGAAATTAACTTCAAGTCCAAGATTTAACTGTATTTACCTTCAGCTAAACTATTTACAGCACAGAACAGCTCCGTAATGTGACAGATACAATTAATTTCTTTGTAGCTTAGAAGTACACCAAACCATTATTAATTGGACAGATACTGTGTATAGCTGAGCCTCAATCTTATTGAAAATCTGAACTAGGGCAGGATATATACATAGAAATGTCAGCACCGCTGCATACCTTAACCCTACCATAACAAAATACAGCGTGTTTAATGTATAAGGGGAAGGCTGGAATTTGAATTATTTGGAGTTTTTTAAAGGATTAGTTCACTAAAAAAAAAAAAAAAAAAATGTGTACAGTTCATAAATATTATTCCATCATTTTAAATGTATCCAATTTAAAAATATTCATATAAATGTTTCCAATGCCTGTAGGCCTTTTGTGAATGGTGTGACGTCTACCCCAAACACTTATCTTATCAGGCCTATCCTCTTTTCTAGGGTGGACCAGCTGTTAGGATTAATGCCTCCTAGCAGTGCAGGAGCCCGGGCTGTCCCTCTGACCCCTACTTACCTCTAGTACCCCCATTACCATAACACTAACATTCCCTAATGATCCACTCTCCCCCAACCTCCCTCTATGTAAAGTACATAAAACTATTTGAGTGATATTAATTTTTTTTAACTAAAATAACAAACAAACATGTCATACTTACCTGCTCTGTGCAATGGTTTTGACAGAGCAGCCCCAATTTTCCTCTTCTCAGGTTCCCCACCAGCGTTCCAGGCTCCTCCTCCACCGCTTGCTATGGGGACATTCATGCGTGCTTGCTCCCACACACTGAACATGGATCAGTCCCGCCCCCTGCTCCCTCCTCACTGGTTGTGATTGACAGCAGCAGGAGCCAATGTTTCCCACTGCTGTCTCTTGAGGCAGTGAGAAGGGGCGATAGTCTCTGCTCTTATGCACATCTCTGGATCGAGATTAGGCTCGGGTAGCTATAAGGGAGCATTGAGGTATGCAGACGTGATGTAGACGACTTGCTGGGATTCAAACCAAGCATCAGAATGGGGAAGAAAGGATATTTAAGTGACTTTGAATGTGGCATGGTTGTTGGTGCTGGTCTGAGTATTTCAAATACTTTTTGATGTACTGGGATTTTCACGCACAACCATCTCGGGGTTTACAGAGAATGTTCCGAAAAAGAGAAAATATCCAGTGAGCAGCAGTTGTGTGGAAAAAAATGCCTTGTTGATGTCAGAAGAGAATGGGCAGACTGGTTCAGCTGTGACATTCAGATGGGATGGTAGGGTCAGTATCTTTCATAAACAACATGAAAGCATGGATTTCTGCCTTGTGTCAACAATTCAGGCTGGTGGTGGTGGTGTAATGGTGTGGGGGATATTTTCTTGGCACCAGCAAGGTGTACCTAATAAAGTGCCCAGTGAGTATATATCTCCTTCAAAGTGAAGATCGTGGTAAGGAAAGGCTTTACTCTTGCATTTGGAGCATTTTTGCTCCGGGTGGAGTTTTTGCTTTAACGTCTTATTTACATCCTTGCCCCTCTACTGTGGTGAAAAACAATTTATCTGCACTGAAAAAATATGTCAAAATCTATTCTTTTGAAATAGAAGCCCTTTTTTTGTTAACCTAGTTTTGTATATACTATGATGCTAGTAGTACAATGGCTTTTAGTTAATTTCTGGAGGTACTGTTATTGCTAGTTTTTGGTGTTAACATTGGTATAGGATATCACTTTCCCTATTAACTGGGAATGATTTGGCACTTTGTACAGCTAGTGTGTGCTTTTTTCCCTTGCAGCTCAGTATTTTTTTTCTTATGTGGACTTTAATTGCCTCTAAAGTAACACGTCATGGGGTTTCACTAATTCTGTTCTTGAACAGGCAAAGAAGTGACATTGTCAAGCAAGCACTGCAGTCATTTTTTGAGACAATGACAAATATTCCAACTTCTGTAGGTCACTATCTGACATTTGTCTCTTCTCCCTCGAGGAAGCTATGTACAGGAGTTTTCAGCATTCCTGCAATACAAAGGCATTTTGTGTTGTAAAATATATGCCCCCTGCACTGAACATACACTATGGGACACATTCTCCTACAGTGAGCAATCCTATTGGAAAACAACCTCCTCTCACTGCAGGAATGCCATGGAAAACTGCAAATCTGCAGAAGATATCCAACTTGGACGTACAGTGTAAAGGCCATCACTTAAACCTTTTGTCCGTTATTTAAGAATTGAATCTACGTATAGGTTGTGCATAAAGTCCATAGAGTTCTGTGATGTCAAAGGTCAAACTGCATGTATGTACATGTGCTCCGTTATTGCTGTATCTATATTCAAAGCGTTAGTGAACCTGCAGTGACTAGGTGGTCATTGCAGCACAGAACACTTAGTATCATTTTCTCCAGATGCTTAAAGTGGAGTTCCACTCACCCTGTCAAAAAATAAAAGTCAGCAGCTACAAAAACTGTAGCTGCTGACTTTTTATTAACAGCCACTTACCTGTCCCTCGGTCCTGTGGTGTGTTCTCCCAGCCCGTTTTCACTGGCCGTCCTGTACTCCGGTAGGCTGGCATCTTCAGTGTGGGCACCCGGCTGTGATAGCTTGCGGCTTCACAGCCGGGTACCCACTGCGCATGCGCGAGTAGCGCTGCTCTTCATGAATGGTCCTGTAGTCTTCTGCGACCTGTCACGTGTCCCAAAAGACTACAGGGAGGGAGGAAGGACATGATCGGACCAGAAGTGGGATTGGGTACCTAACAAATTTAGGTACTCGCTCCCCCCCCCCTGCCCCCCAAAGGTGCCAATCCTTAATGGGGAGCGGGGGAGCAGTCCTTAAAGTGGAACTTCCCCTTTTGAGTGGAGCTCCGCTTTAAAGAAAAAAAAAAAAAACATACCTGGAGGCTAATTTGAGTCCAAGGTTTTTCTACTCATATGTAAACAAGATATGTCCTACAAAGAAAAAAAATGAGCAAAAAAAAAAACTGTTTTAAGTCCACCGACTCACCACTAATAGAGGAAGTGGACAGAGCATCTCAGCATAGATCAAAAATATGACAAGGATTAAAGTTCCTAAAGCAGTAGGTACTGAATAAGGTCCAAGCAGTATGACCATACAAAAAATCCTTTATTAAAATATTTTGCAAAAACACCATTAGTAACATACACAACCCGAAATTTCCAACCATACAGGGCAATTGCCTCCAACCCACAACATTTAAAAGGATTGACAACATTGTCAAATATTATTAAAAACTGTTTCCTACAGACATTCTCCTTCAGAGTTGTATGTGCAGTTACCGCTCAGAGAGACCTCAATTTCCATGGTTCGAGCCAAGTAAAATTTCTCTAAGGGTGCACCTGTGCAGAGAGCAGACCTGTGGAAGGGGCCCAGCAGGCCCCATCCAATACAGGCTGCCTGCAGAAAACTATTGGAAGGGTCAGAGACAAGCCCAGTCACCTCGCAGAGAGCAGCAATGACTTTGCCTCTTTGCAGGAGCTTCCTGTTAAAAAAAAAAGACTAGTTTCACACTGTATTACTGCACAGACCTTGAAGAAATGCGCAAATTACATTCAAAGAAGAATACACATAACTCTTGTATTTAGGCAATATTTGCTTATCCTGGAGTTCTGCTTTAATAACCACTGTGTTTTATATTTTTTTTACTAATTAAGGCAAAAAAGACCAAAAATGTGGGTTTGTTTATCTCTACCTTTCATTTCTTTACTTAGAAAAAAAAAAAAAAAACTCGGGCTATGACAAGCCTGGTTTCAAACAGGAGCAGAGGGAAAACCACATGCGAGGAGTGGGGAATCCGCATTCAATTTGAACAGGAATTTCTTTCCTGTTTAAATCACATTCTAATCTTTGCGGTGCAATTTGTGTCCATTAATGCAAATCGCACCGCAAAGTATCGGCAGTATTTTCACGAGTACTCCTGAGAATACTCAGTATGGGCACATCCTTAATTTTTAACATGCAAAGCAAACTCACTCACCCATCCATCCTTGTCTCCATGATTTATTTTGCTGAAAAATCATCACGTTGAAAGATACCGCCTAGCATTTCTGGCAGTGGCCACCTTGAGTAAGGGCATATGGTTCACATTTACTTCCTGGCATTCATCTGCCCTTATCTCAGGTATGCAGGCAAGAAGGTGTGCTTAGCTAAGAAAACCCCTCCTCCCCTCCTGAAGACTGTATGACCTGCCTAAGCCATGAAACCCAGAAGTAACTAAAGAATTAAATATGATATACTTTCCTAATGCTAGCAGCATAAGGATTCCAAATGGTTAATGTTGACCGAGAGAGGGAAGTTCCTCTTTAGACTGGTACTGACATGTCCACTCCTTTTTGGTTCACAACAGTTATGTCCTGCATGACATCCAGATAAAATCAAGGATGTGCAGCTACTCGTTAAGAGTCAATTCAGTGTTTTTTGGTTTTTATTAGTTTAGCATAATTAGACCAATGAAGGATGGTTTCTGAAGTTGCGGTTTTCTGTGCTTTGGTCTTCTCGTCATTAACTATAAGCACAAGTCTCATTTCAAAAGTGTGCTGACCCAAGAGATTTCATAAAACATTCATGCTTTTATAAAAATTCCACTAATACAGAACAGTTTTTGGCATTAGAATGAATTCTCTGTAGTGAGATGTTTCGATCTGTAACAATCATCCTGACTTGAGGAACGATTGTTAGAGGTTTGAAACAAAGCCATTAAATTGCAACTATAATGCTGCCAAGATCTTATCTGCTTTAATACAAATTAGCGAAAGTGTGGATGTTTATCATGAAGTCCCTTGTGTGGAACCATTATTCGGCATTTTCCTTCCATGTCTACCCTAAGAATTGACTTTGAAGTGCAGGAAGCTCTTTATTGTAGTGTGACATTATCATATTCTTAAATGTTCAGGAGCGAACATTTCAAGTAGCTTATCAGTTTAACTAGTTTTGGTGTTGCATGTGGGGGTTACACTACCTATACATTAAGCCTATCTAAACTCCAAAACAAAAATGTACTTTATTGTAGCTTTGGATGTAGCGATTGCAGTAGTTTTTTATTGATTTTTTTTTTTTTGGATTTTTTTCCCCATTATTTGCACCTGGTGATGCAACAGATAACTCTGTCCTAGAGTGACAGCACTTACTCCGTATACTGTATTTAGCATTGTCACCCTGGACTATTCTCCTGATTTAGACAGCAGAGACCCCTTCTCCCCTCATTTCCTTTTCATAGTTGGGAGTGTTTTTGTAGTTCAAGGAGGATAGATGGGAAAGCTGATAACATTGTTGGAGACATTAGGCACAAAATTATAAGAACTCAAGAATCAACAGGCTTTTTCTTTGTGTACTGAAAGCTAAAATATACTAAAGTGGAACTCCAGAAATAAACTTTTTTCAAAACTTGCATTGGTCCAGCTTGGCTTGACCTAAATATCCGTTTCTGATATCTGGAGGGCCACTGGGAATGGTGAAATCACTGCAATAGTCTGTGCTGCATACAGTGATGCCCATGATCTTCCAGATCCTGCTCCAGTGACTTCCCCTCTGCACACTGAACACGGGGTTTCTAGCTTAGCACCTCCACCATTCAGAGAACACCTTGCAATTAATGCAAGACATTTTCTGATAGGAGAAGGTGGAGATCATGACGTCCTCCTATTCACCAATTTCTACCTCTGTCTCTCATTTCTCACCTCACGCCGTATTCATACTTTCCTGTTCTGGGATCAAAGACCGAAACTTACGGTGCCATTTTTTAAATTTTTGTAAAGGCACCCAAAACACTGATAGCAGTCGCATGCCAAAATGCACTTTGGTAGACTGCCAAAAAAATGTGCAAGAGCTACTTTGGCGCACTGAGGGCAGCCCATTCAAGTGCTGTTGCACAACAAATGCACCAAAAACTGCAGGAAAAAATGCAATGCGAAAGTGTGAATGCAGCCTCAAGGTGCCTCTGCAAAATGTGGACCTGGTGTAATCTGTACAAGTACTAAGACTGGAAATGGGATATACAAATAGCTAAATTTGAATGCAAGTTTACTTGGAGGTTACCCCAGGTACAGCATACAAAAGGTAAGTGCAAGGCTGTGTCCTAGAGAGACCATTCCTTGCAGGCACATGTTAAACAAAGGCACGTGAGATATAAAGCATGACTGTGCAATCATTTTGTATCTTATAGTGTTTTTCATAGAATTTTGAATCGTTGCCAAACTATTAAACCGGCCATAGATGAGATTTTTTTTTTCCCCCAACTCTGGGTTGCAGGAAAGAAATCAACACTGACTGCGGAGCGTGTGTGTGTGGTTGGGGTGGTGGGAGAGCGCTGTCCCTGCTGGGAGAACACCGTGACAGCCAGTCAGCCTGCCCATAGGTGATTCCAATCTCGACTTGTCCTTGCTGAACCAGCTCAGATTCTAACCATCTATGGCTGGATTTACAGATTTGGTTAAATATAATTGAGATCAGATCTTGACTTTGGGATATGGATGTTCCACGTTCAGTTATTCCGATCGCTCCCTATGGGTTTTATGGTGAATTGAGTTGTTTGCTTATTTTGATACAATTTTGTACGGTTTATTTATAATTCTTGCATAATGACTGGAAATGCAGAGACTTATCAGTGAGGGGGAATCAACCATAACATTCACCGATTTTGTTGCCAAGTCTTCTTTTCTTTTTTTTTTCCCTAGCCGATCTATAAGTAGACCTAAAAACAAACTGTTAGCCAGTTAAAGTCTTGTCCAGGCTTCGTTTTTTTTTTTTTTTTTTCAATCTTCTATTTTTGTCTGAATTCCACATCCTGCCATATTTTTCAGCGCATCACTTTCCCGGCAAAGAATCGTGTGCTTCGCTGTGACAGCCTGAAGCTGCAAATAAAGATGTTTAGGAGATAGAAATTCTTAGAAAGCTGCTTTTGCTGGTGAATATTACATGTCAGGACAAATTGTTTTGTGGTTTCTTTTGTACAGATCCTCAGTTCGAGCTCTTTTTGTTTTTGTTTGTTGTTTTGTTTTTGTTTTTTTTTTTTTTTTTGTTTTTTTTACAAAACATCAGGTTTAACAGCTATAAAGCTGAATTCCAGGCAAATACTCAGTTTAGTGTGTACATGAAAGTGCTTTCACCACCTGAAATGATTTTTCATTTCAGTTCAACCTGATGATGCAGGCACCTCTGCCAGACAGCATAGTTGGGTTCTTGAACTCCGCTGCAGCCAAGAACACCCTTCAAACCTGCCAAGTGATATTGAAGCAGCACTACACTGCTAAGGTCAACACCTCTTCTGGTCAGCATGCATGTTCACTGTCAATTCAGCAGAGCTTGATTTGGCTCCCAGAGCTGTCCCTCCCTGCCTCAGCCTGGGTGCTGCTGTGCAGGAGATTACAGGACGTTGGTATGAAAGCAAACTCAGAAACGAATGCTAGTTGTATTTATGAATGAATGTTTTAACATAACTGCAAGAAATGATTGAAGTCCCAATTTAAAGGAACCTGTCAGTGTAGAAATATAGGTGCGCACACTGCTGACTTGTTTTCAAGTTGCATCCTTATCCTTCACTTGTTAAAGTATACCTCTGGGCCAAATCAAGAATTCATCACATAACTGCATACATGCCCATTTTGCCACCATGTTTCATCTCTTCAAATGTACTAAACAAAATTTAACCCTTTTCAGAGTACAACATGACAATGCCCAATTTCTTGGGTCCTTCAGGACCATTTTAAGGCTTGGCGCTTTGAGCACTGCTTTAGGCAATTTAAAGTGTTCCTAAACCCACAACAGTAAAATCAGTCTGTATATGCAGTAAAGCATGCTTGTTATACTCACTGTGGAACCTAAGGGGTTAATCCTCTGCATTGTGTAAAAATGCTATTTGATCCTGTCTTCCCTGATCCTCCCCTTCTTCCAGTGTCCCCCTTTTATCTCCCGATAAGACATATTGTTTGGAGTCACTCTGCACATGCTCAGTTTGGTGTGTATTGCTAGTGAGGCTTTTTTTTTTGCATGGGAGAGTGCATGTGATTAGCACAGGGCCAATCAGCACTGTCCAGACAGAGGTCAGGGGTCCTGCATCCTCCTAGAGCAGAATGAAAACTCCACCTACAAGCTTTAACATGTGCTCGGCTGAACAGTGATAGCAAGTCATGAGACTGCTCTAACTGCTGATGAGAAAAGGTATTTATCAGTTTATATTTACTAAAATAATTGCATTTCCATGTTCTGTGTCTTTGGGAGACCAGATATAGTGAATGCAGGGTCCTGGGTTTAGTAACACTTTAAAGCGGAGTTCCACCCATTTGTAATACTTTACCTTATTATGTAGTCCCTGTGAAATAAAGCACAAGTTGGATATTTTTTTTTTTTTATTATTATTATTATTATTATGCATACCTTTTACTCCACTGCAAGCCTGCAGTTGCAGTCCCAACCGCCTAGGTGATGACATCGTGAGGCGATTTGCAAGGTCTCCTGGGATGTCGTTTCCTGTATCCCAGAAGTCCCTTGGTTTCCTGTAATCGTGGGACTTGGAAACCGGAAATGACGCAAATGGGAGGAGTTTTGCGCCATTTTACCGGAGTCCATGATATATTCCCTTCCTTGCAGTACAGTGCTGTACAGGTTGCCTGACTGGGGCGGGCAGCAGGAACTTCATCCATCCCCACCATTGTCATGGCAGCCTGTACTGCGCACGTCGTGCCGAGCAGTGTCTGTACTGCGCATGCACGAGAACGAGTGGTGCATGCTGGGATAACCAGCAGCACGATTTCAGGAAATAAATACCTGCGGGCTTCAGATGCCCACAGCCATCATGGCGCCTGCCTGCTTTCGAGATCCTAGTAAATGTTTATGATTTTCTAAGTAATTACAATGCTTTTAATATTGAATTATTCCAGTTGTTAATGCTATTTGTAAGGTCATCTTGAATCTGCTTGTAACAAAAGCTGGACTGGAGCTCCGCTTTAATAAAAAAAAGTCTAGGCAGCATTCTCTATGGACTTGCTGCATTCACTTGCACTGGATTTCCTATTCGCTTCTCAGCAATCAGTTTCCACCTAATGTAAAGAATGAGCTAAGCCTCCAATTTTTTTTTTTTCCTGTTTTAAGCATATGATCTGCCAGCATGTGACTCCAAATGCCCCATCAGACAACCGGTCTTGCTGACAGCTGTTTTGGTGCAGGAAGCAAAATAATTGTCTCATCTCTCATTTATTGCTTTGCTCTACAGGTGGCCCATGCTCATTTATCAGCAGCAGGGTTAAACTTTTTTTTTTTCTCTCTTCCATGCGGTCATGGGTTGAAAATCCAGTTTTCCATAAACAAATTTTGTTGAAATTAAAGGCCTTGTTTGTTTTGAATATGGAAAATCTGAGTAGTTCTTTATCCAGTCGCCCCACATCAGGCTTTCTTAACAATTTACTTTGTATTAATCCTTCAAAAACCCGATGCACATTTTCTCTTTTTGGCGCAGTCTTATGTATATCTCTGCCTCTCTTGCAGCTGGAGGTGACCCTGGACCTGGCGGAGAGGCGGGAGATCCGCTCGGCGATTCGAGAGTTACGCAGGAAGGAGCTGGAGAGATGCGAGGAAGCCCTGGCCTCTAAACGCTTCAGATCAGAGAGAGGACAGGAGGACAAAGAGAACCAGCCTGGGTTAGTTAATGTATTTGTCTTGTAGTGGTCCCACATTAAAGGGAAGCTATACTGCATTGTTATACACTGACTTATGTATGTAATATTTGAAAAGACTATAACATTTTACATGCTTGTTGTTCCACATTTTATTTATTGTATTTCGTAGTCCCGTTTGGTATTCCTCCTTTTTAAGTGGTCATCTACCTGACCCATAGGCTGACACTCAGAGATAGGGAAAGTCCACCTGGCAGTACTAGGGTCATTTGGTTCGAATCCCAGCCACGGCACCACCTGCCTGGAGTTTGCATGTTCTCCCTGTGACTGCGTGGGTTTCCTCCGGGTACTCCGGTTTCCCCTCACACTCCAAAGACATGCTGGTAGGTTAATTGGCTCCTGTCTAAAAAATTGTCCCTAGTATGTGTATGTATGAATGTGAGTTGGGACTTTAGATTGTACGCCCCTTGAGGCTTAGGGACTGATGTGAATGTACAATATATATGCATGTAAAGCGCTGCGTAAATTGACGGCGCTATATAAGTACCTGAAATAAATAAAGTGTAGTACTGTCACTGTATATTACTGAGCAGGAAGCAGAACTTGCAAGCATGATGGATTACGTGCAATTATAATTACTATGTGATTGAAAATTATATATACACATAATGGAGTGAATAAATAAAAAGTGTATGAGACCTGTTCTGTCTCAACTGGTTCTGTTGCCCATTGCAAGCTAATGTAAGTACCTAAATAAGCCTTTGTGTTGACTTCCTGTAACCTCCTGCACAGCACGACTGTCAGACTCTATTCTTTTGCACTGTGCTATAAATCTAATAGGAATTCTATGATGGCATAATAGGTATGCATACATTCCCGTGGGTGAAATGATCTGTAAATCTGAAAACCAAAGTTGCCTGGCATACAAGATTAGCGGAACAAAATTACACCGATCACATATACAGTATGTATGGTGTTTAGGCAATTCATTTCATAGTTTGCCTAAAATTTTGTTTTTGATGAATGCACCTTTTTAGGTTTGGTCTAGTGTTTTATTTGGTGTGTTATGCTACATTGCAGTGATTAGAAGGATTCTGATATCCACATATACAGGCATCAAAATGATATGGCATTATGACATTAATCTAGAGTGGGTGACTATATACACAGAGCTGAAGAAGGTATTTAATACATTTTCCCTCTCTTTGTCCCCAAAGGAGCATGGGGGAGCTCTTGTCCATAATGGGCATGGTATTGACACAGCTTCAGATGATCCACATTGGCTCACAATTGATATGATCCAAAAATATTTAGACAGAATAAATGTGAATAAAGCACCTGGACCGGATGGCGTACACCCACGGGTCCTTAAAGAATTGAACTCTGTCATTTCAAAGTTATTGTTTCTAATTTTTAGGGACTCTTTAATGACTGGCAGAGTGTACTTGGATTTTGCAAAAGCATTTGACACAGTTCCCCACACATGGCTAATGTGTAAGGTAAAGTCTACAGGCTTGGAAAAATCTATATGTAAATGGATATAAAACTGGCTAAAAGATCATATTCAGAGAGTAGTAGTTAATGATTCATACTGTGAATGGTCTAGGGTCATTAGTGGTGTACCTCAAGGTTCAGTGTTGGGACCCTTACTTTTTAATATATTTATAAACGATATAGGGTCTGGATTAAAAATCCCATTTCAGTCTTTGCAGATGACACCAAGCTGTGCAGTGGAATAACGTCCTTACAGGATGTCTCCAACTTACAAGCCGACCTCAATGCACTGTTTAATTGGGCAACTACAGTATGTGGCAAATGAGGTTTAATGTTGATAAATGTAAGGTTATGCACTTGGGGGCTAAGAATATGCATGCAACATACATACTAGGGGGGTACAACTGGGGGAATCAATGGTGGAGAAGGATCTGGGAGTTCTGGTAGATCACAAGCTTAATAATGGCATGCAATGCAAGCTGCGGTTTCTAAAGCGAGCAAAAATCCTCCTCTCTTGTATTAAACAAGGTATAGACTCCAGAGAGAGAGATATCATATTACCCCGGTACAAATCATTAGTAACACCTCATTTGGAATATGCAGTTCAGTTTTGGGCATCAATTCACAAAAAGAACATTGGGAAATGAGAGAGTACAGAGAAGGGCAATCAAACTGATAAGAGGCATGGAGGAGCTCAGCTATGAGGAAAGATTAGAGGAACTGAATTTATTCTCTCTTGAGAAGAGAAGATTAAGGGGGGATATGATCAACATGTATAAATACATCAGTGGTTCTTATAGTGAACTCGGTGTAGAGCTATTCACCCTGAGGTCATCACAGAGGACAAGGGGGCACTCTTTACATCTGGAGGAAAAGAAATTTAATCTCCAAACACGAAAAGGTTTCTTCACAGTGAGAGCTGTGAAAATGTGGAATAGACTCCCTCAAGAGTTGGCCAGCTCAGTGGATTGCTTCAAAAAAGGTCTGGATTGTTTCTTAGATACACAGAATATAACTGGATACTAACATTTATAGGTAAAGTTGATCCAGGGAATATCTAATTGCCTCTCGGGGGATCAGGAAGGATTTTTTTTCCCTGCAGGAGCAAATTGGATCATGCTTTGCTGGGTTTTTTTCACCTTCCTCTGGATCAACTGTGGGTATAGGATTATAACTTTTTTTTTTTTTTTTAATGGTTGAACTGGATGGACTTTTGTCTTTTTTTCAGACAGACTAACTATGTAATTATAACATCCAGGACAGCCAGTTTGTGAACTCTGCATCTGTTAAGGGAAATGTTTAGTGTTTGTGCATACTTATTTTGTCTTAATTGGTTATGGTCAGGACTTCTTTTTTTTTTTTTTTTTAAATAAAATATTTATTCTTTACTCTGGTAAATATTTGCATATCCAATATGTTGCAGTCTCAATATTAGCCACCAGTTAGGCTAATTTTCACATTTTGTTCCCCTCTCATCCACTTGTGTGTTGGCAAAGTTGTTCTCGGAGCTTAATAGTTCAAACTCAAATTTACACCCCCCCCCAAGTAAATGCGTTTGAGGGATTCATCCTTCTATCTGATGTCTTTATCTAACGTTTTAGTCAATCTAAGCCTCTAGGCAGGGAACTATTGCATTGCTGTCTCTTTAGATAACCCATAGTTTGCAAAACTCCACCGTGCCCCATTCCATACGTGCAGGATGCTTACCTGCTGTCCCATTCCTGAGGCTTTCATTGTGCAGCCCTGCTTAGAGCTGCATACCCTTGGCACATAGGTCCTCACTGTGCATGCACACTGCTCACTCAATTTCTGCAGTTGCACCTGCATTCTGTTACAATGTCAGATTTCTGTGATGTAAAATAATGAGACAAAGATAAATAATTTCAGAACTTTTTCCACCTTTAATGTGACCTATAAACTGTACAACTCAATTGAAAAAACAAACTGAAATCTTTTTTTTGGGGGGGGGGGGGGCTGAATAAACATTAAAAAATTTAAATAATGTGGTTGCATAAGTGCGCACACCCTCTTATAACTGGGAATGTAGCTTTGTTCAGAATTATGCATTCATATTCAAAATCATGTTAAATAGGAGTCAGTACACACGTGCCATCATTTAAAGTGCCTCTGATTAACTCCAAATAAAGTTCAGCTGTTCTAGTAGGTCTTTCCTGACATTTTCTTAGTCGCATCCTAGGCAAAAGCCATGGTCCGCAGAGAACTTCCAACGCATCAGAGGGATCTCATTGTTAAAAGGTATCAGTCAGCAGAAAGGTACAAAAGAATTTCCAAGGCATTAGATATACCATGGAACACAGTGAAGACAATCATCAAGTGGAGAAAAATATGGCGCAACAGTGACATTACCAAGAACTGGACGTCCCTCCAAAATTGATGAAAATAAGAGAAGAAAACTGGTCTGGGAGGCTGCCAAAGGCCTACAGCCACATTAAAGGAGCTGCAGGAATATCTGGCAAGTACTGTCTGTGTGGTACATGTGACAACAATCTCCCATATTCTTCATATGTCTGTGCTATGGGGTAGAGTGGCAGGACGGAAGCATTTTCTTATGAAGAAAAAACACCCAAGCCCGGCTAAATTTTGCAAAAACACATCTGAAGTCTCCCAAAAGCATGTGGGAAAATGTGTTTTGGGTCTGATGAAACAAAAGTTGAACTTTTTGGCCATAATTCTAAAATATATGTTTGGTGCAAAAACAACACTGCACATCACCAAAAGATCACCATACCCACAGTGAAGCATGGTGGTGGCAGCATCATGCTTTGGGGCTGTTTTTCTTCAGCTGGAACTGGGGCCTTAGTCAAGGTAGAGGGAATTATGAACAGTTCCAAATACCAGTCAATATTGGCACAAAACCTTCAGGATTCTGCTAGAAAGCTGAACATGAAGAGGAACATCTTCTTTCAGCATGACAACGACTCCAAAGCACACATCCAAATCAACAAAGGAATGGCTTCACCAGAAGAAGATGGAAGTTTTGGAATGGCCCAGCCACAGCCCAGACCTGAATCTGATCAAAAATCTGTGGGGTGATCTGAAGAGGACTGCACACAGGAGATGCCCTTGCAATCTGACAGATTTGGAGTGTTTTTGCAAGGAAGAGTGGGCAAATATTGCCAAGTCAAGATGTGCCAAGCTGATAGACTCATACCCAAAAACACTGAGTGCTGGAATCAAATCAAAAGGTGCTTCAGTATTAGTTTAAGGGTGTGCACACTTATGCAACCATATTATTTTTAGTTTTTTATTTTTTACTTCCCTTCACTTAAAAGATTTCAGTTTGTTGTACAGCTTTTAGGGGACATTAAAGGTGGATTTCTGAAATGATTGATCTTTGTCTCATTTTTTTTTTACATCACAGAAACAAACCTGGCATTTTAATAGGGGTGTGTAGACTTTTTATATCCACTGTATACTCTTGGCAGATGCAGCCATACAGTGTAGTATGACCCCCAGTCCTATGAATGTTGGGGGTGAGCAGCACTTGTGAGAAGTAGGATCTGGATCTGGCAGGGACAGTTTCATGAAGAGGCTGTGTGGAGCCGGCCAGAACTGCACAGAGAAGATCTTCCTAGCAGTGCTAAAGGTGTTGCTATGCTGTTGACATTCTTAATAATGAATGCATGTGTAAATTGGGCTTGGAAACAAAGAATAACTTTAGTTGGTACACAGTTGCATTTTTAACAGTTTCTTTAAAATGAACGACAAGCTTTTGGGTTGGAGTACTGCTTGGACCTTGAAGAAGGGGGCACACCCCGAAAGCGTGTCTTGAAAATTTGGATGTTAGTACACTTGCAACAAGAACAATTGAGTATTTGCACTAATATGGCTACAGTCACCTCAAGCATTTAAAGTGTTACTAAACCCAGAACAGTAAAATCAGTCTGTATATGCAGTTAATCCTCCTCATTGTGTAAAAAGGTTGATTGATCCTGTCTTCTCTAATCCTCCCCTTCTCCCCCAATCTATTTGCCATAGAGCATGTGCAGACTTGCTACTGCTGCTCTGTACTGTTTGGTGTATATGTGTTTTTTTGGAGGGGGTTTTTTTTTTTTTTTTTTTTTTTTTTTTCCTGTGAGGGTGCATATGATTGGCACAAGGCCAACTAGTGCTGTCCAGAAAGAGAGTCAGGGATTATGCAGCCTCATAGGACAGTCAGAGGAGAATGAAAACTCCTACAAGATTAACCAGTGCTCGGCTGGACACTGATAGAAGTCAGAAGACTGCAATGTATTGAAGAGAAAAGGTATTTAGCCTAAAATAATTGCATTCCCATGTCCTGTGTACTGTGGGAAAGGACTTAGTAGACCCAATAGGAATGTTCTGGAATTTTCTGGAATATGCACGGCTTGCTGCCCTCAACAGACCGGGGTGGTCCAAATACACTGGATACAAATGGAGAAAACAGAAAAAGGGCGCACCGACCTAGTGCATTATCGTTTAAAATAATTTATTGAAGAAACAAAAATAGGTATCATACTCACAATGGACATATTAACACAGGCATGTCAAACTGAACAAGATGTATGATCCAAACAACATCTGAGTCCATACGATGGAACCCTGGATGACCAACTGGCTAACGCGTTTCAAGGACACAACCTTCTTCCTCAGAGCCAGACCCTGAATGTAGGGTCCTGGGTTTTTAGTAACAACTCAAGTGAATGCAGAGCAAATTGCCTCTTACACAGCTTGATTTTCTCTTGGTCATCCTGCAGGCTGAACAAGTGAAAACCAGTAGCTTCCCCCATTGCAAAGTCTTCACTGTTGGCCAGGGGCGGACTGACCATTTAGAAACTTGGGCACTGCCTGAGGGCCTGGGGTCAGTAGGGGGCCCAATGAGATGCCCCTGGTACCTTTTTCGGAGGCTTTTTTGAGTTTGTGCAAGGACACAGGGGCCCCATGATCCCCTGTTGCCCGGGGGCCCCATGAGTTGTCAGTCCGCCCCTGCTGTTGGCTATTGTATTCGCAAAGTTGTGGCTGCCTGGATGCCCGAACAGTGACTGTATTTAGTGTAGTGTAGTCACATTCAGCTAATAATTTTCTGCCCTGCTCAGTTGATTTTTTTTTTTTATTTATTTGTTTGTTTGTTTTCTTTCCTTTTCCCCAGCCACCATTTTTCTCAATGTAGATGCCCATTTTGTGCTTTTAGTCAGGGTAGCGGTCAGCTAGTAGAGAATGGGCTTCCCAAGCAGAAATGGCTTCAAGCAGAGAGAAAGAGAGAGAAAACAAGCAAACCTCTAGTGTCCCCTTCCAGCCTGAATGGCTGCCATTGATCTTTAAAAGGCTTCCAAAAACTCCAGAGATCCAGATCAGGGCCTCAGTGCACATAGGCTGGCCATAGACGGCTCAATAAAAACAAGCGATGTGCCATGTTTTGAGCATTGTTTTGTTATTAGCAGACTGTTTCTTTACTGCAGGAAGGTAGGAAATTTGCTAAGGACTGTGAGCTGTGAATAACTTCGGCAATGTAAGATTCAGATCCTGCTCTTTCTGGGCCCTCCTATGCTAAAGTGCCAAGGCCTTTGATTACTCCTCAGCTTGACATTGCCTGTAATATAAAGAATGTTTTTCTCTGATCTCTGCCTAGTTTAGTGAATTACGAAAAGACTTCTGTTTGTTTTAATGTTGGCAGATGAACACTCACTAGCAGGGGCGGACTGACAACCATGGGGCCCCTGTGTCCTTACCCACAGCCAAAAAAAAACCTATGAAAAAGCCAAATAAAGGTACCAGGGGCATCTCATGGGGCCTCCTACTGACCCCGGGCCCTCGGGCAGTGCCCAAGTGCTGAAATGGTCAGTCCGCCCCTGCTCACTATCT